GCTATTTAAAATTTTTCACGATTTCTTAATTGTATATGACTTCTTCATGTTTATTTTCAGAAAATCCTAGAATAATAATTTAAATAATGTAGAAAGTAGAAAAAATAAAAAGATATTTTCTTACTATATAAATGAATTAACTAGATTTAATATTTCTTTATTGTAAAAGTTTTACTTTTCTATTTCATAGCTTGCTTTTTTTTTCATGTTTTTTTATAAAGTATACTAAAAATCGTTAGAGTTTTAAAAATTATGCAGATATATTTTTCAATTTTTCTATATAAGTAAAAGTAAAGTATATTATATACTTTACTTTTACGTGTAAGATTTAACAGCATGTTTAAATGCTTTCATAATCATTTTGATACAGCCATCAAATTTGTTTGCTATAAATTGTTGTATACACACTTACGTTAGTAATTGGCATGTTGACTATTATTCTATTCTACAATTTTAATGAGCTGATGACCGCAAAAGATGACGAATCGATTACATATATAGCAAGCGATTGCATCAAATTGCAATCAAATACAATTTTCCCAGCATTCATTATCTTGCAACAATTTCCGTTAATAAGCAAATAGTTTATTTAAAAAATTTTTTAAATTTTTATTTATTATAATATTAATACTTTTGTATATTATACATTTTATATAAATTTTTTTAATATAATATAATAATTAATAAATATTAAATATTAAATAATAAATATTCTATAACATATAAAAAAAATTTAGAAGAAGTAAAAAAAATATTTGTGTGTACGTGCGTACGTGCGTGCGTAATTGGAAAATTTATTTATTTATTCATTTATTATTTTTAATTCTTCGAAAGAAAATTCTTATTTTGTTTCCCTTTTTTGATATTAATTTTTATTGGTTTTTTGTCGATGCATGTAAGTTATTTCAAGCATGTGTGTAAAATAAAATATATTGATATTTCCAATACATAACTTTAACAGATGGTTAGCATATCTTTTTATATCAAAAAATAAACTTGGCCTTATCCTCTAATATTTTATAATATTTTAAATTTATACTCAATAAATTATTCGTCATAACTTATATCAATCTTTTTTATAAGAAAGTTACATGTTTTTTTTTACTTTGAAAAAATATAATGAAATAAAATATTATAAAAAAGTATATAATATGTGTAAAGAACGTTCCATATCTTTCTATCTCTTAAGTTGTTCCAAATTATAGTTATGATAGAAATATAATAGAAATGATTCATATATATGATTTTTATGTAACATCACTTATTATTATTATTTTTATCTTATTAAATAAAAAAAAGACAAGAAGAAAAGTTTCAAATTACAAATATTTTATTAACGAATACTTTTATATAAATTGCATAATTATATAAATATGCAATATCTCTTTTTCTCGTACTATTATATGTTATTTTAATTAATTAGTTAATGAATGGATTACGGTGACGGATGGATGTTTCAAGTGTGTTGTGATAACATGTAAGCTGTAACCAGTGACCGTTTAGTAACTGATAATATATGATCGGCGGATATGGGTCACTAAGATTTCTCGTTGACGCCAACAATTATTATCTCTACGCCGTCTTCACTCGTATATGTATATGCTGTAATTTCTCTCGTTTCGCAAGATAACCGAGCAGATATTAAAACATATGCGTCTTTCATAGCATGTACAGACATGTCATTGTGGTGTGTGTGTGAAGCTGGCATCTCATTTCGCGGAAACTCACAAATTATTGAGAACTCTGGCTTCCTTTTGAATAGTTCTAGAGTTCCTGATAAGTTAAACAAATAATTCTGCTCATTAAAGCGAAAAAATCGGTTCGGACAAAATGAGACGGACGCTAGGTTCACACCGCGTCTCACTTTATCTTAAATGAGTTCCAATGCAAAATTTTGAAAAATTTACAATTCTACAAGAATTCTATAAAGAGTTCTGTCAAATTAAAACAAAAAAATTATTTAAACAAATAAAAAGTAATTATTAATATAATAACAGATCGAGCTAAATTATAAACAAACAACTCGGAGTTCTGGCTTAAAAATTATACTTTCCGTATAGTTCAACATGTAGAAGCATTTTCTAAAGAGTTCCAATCAATTATAATAACGTACGTCTTTTAAATAAATAAAAACCGTCCGAGCGTCACGTACTTAGTCGGAAAGGTGTGAGACGCTGGCCATTATTTCGGAGGTCTAGCTTAAAAATTATACTTTTCGTATAGTTCTCAACATATAGAAGCATTTTCTAAAGAGTTAGAAAAGGCATTGGCGATAATGTACAACTTTTAAATAAATAAATACCATCCGAGCGTCATGTATCTACACAGAAAGATATGAGATGCTGGATAAAATCTCGGATTGGCATTTATTTAAAAATCGTACGTCATCGCCAATGTTTAGAACTTTTAGAAAACGCTTTAATATTTTTAGAATAATATAAAAAGTATAATTATTAAACGGGAACTCTGAGATTTCGACCAGCATCTCATACCTTTCTGTCTAAGAACGCGACACTCGGCCGATATTTATTTATTTAAAAATTGTACGTCATTGCCAATGCCTAGAACTCTTTAGAAATTGCTCTAATATATTTATTGTTATGTAAAAAGTATATAGTATAAGTATAAGTTTATTAAATCAGAATTTCGAGATTTCGAACAGCGTCTCATACATTTCTGTTTAAGTACGTGACGTTCAAACGATATTTATTTATTTAAAAAACGTACGTTATTATAATTGATCGGAACTCTTTAGAAAATGCTTCTACATGTTGAGAATTAGGAAAGTATAATTTTTAATTCGTTTATTAATAATGTTGTTTATTAGATTCTTATATTAATTTATGTATTTATTTTCACTAATTATGTACGAATGTTTTGACACATACTGATTTTCGCTTTTATGTTTCTGAGCTTTTATTTATAATTTTTAAGCCAGAACTCCGAGTTGTTTGTTTGTGGTTTAGCTCTGTTATTACATTAATAATTACTCTTTATTTATGTATTTAAGTATTTATGTATTTAAATAATTTTTTTGCTCTAATTTGACAGAACTTTTTACAGAACTCTTGTAGAACTGTAAACTGTGAACTGTCTTTCAAAATCTTGCATTGACGAACGGCGGAACTCATTTAGGACAAAGTGAAACGCGGTATGAATTTGGCGTCTCACTTTGTCCGAACCGATTTTTTCACTTTAATGAGCAGGAAGCCAGAACTTTCAAAAATTTGTGAGTTTCCGCGAATTGAGACGTCAGTTTCACACACATTAAGATGCAGCGTGAACCTGGCGTCTCACTTTGTCCAAACCGATTTTTTCGTTTTAATGAGCAGAAATATTTGTTTAACCTATCAGGAACTGTAAAACTATTAAAAAGGAAGCCAGAATTCTCAATAATTTGTAAGTTTCTGCGAAATGAGACGCTAGCTTCACACACACACACACACACACACGCGCGCGCGCGCGCGCGCCATTGTGACAGGCAGAACGAAAACAATTTTCTTTCCTCTCCAAGTTTGTCCGTTCGTCAGTTCCTTTCCGATTATTGTAACCATTAAGATATAAACAAGTTATTTGTTCTAATGATTTAAACATTTATAATATATATTACAATATTCTTGGAATATATAAATAATTCTAAATATACTAAAAGAACATACTTACTGCAGTATGATATTTTATAGTTTTGATACGTGTAATATCCAGTTTATATATGAAATAATATTTGATAAAACAATGTTTATGTATTGCAGATCGCGTTACAGGTAATCATCGCGCAACTACGCAGATGCTCATTGCAAATATATATCTTCATGTATGAATCATGCAACGATCTAACTTTGAAGTGCCTTATTAGAAAATCTTTGATTGATCCCTAGGTTTATATTCGTGATAGCGTGACTTGGATATATATATAGAGCCTTAGGCTTAATTC